TATATGCTCGGGACGTCGTCGTGGTGCTATCGCCACGACGATATCGTTGTCGTCGTAAGTCATCACAGCAGGCAGCATTCTCCTTGAGGACCCACTACTGCGCATCACGCGGCTTGATAGGGATTCACACCGCTCCGCTATTATCCTTAAGCGCTCGCCCTAACTTGACTAACTGTGACTAACTGTGATAAACTAACTGTGACTCTTTCCTTTACACTCTTAATGTTCATTGCTATACTTGAGGGAACGTCCTTACTGATTTAGCTGCGGACGAGCAAACTCCTAACTGTCACTGAAGATTTGCATCTACTGCAAGGGGAAGTGCCGAAATCACGACAAGGTGATTTGGAAGATGTCTACAACAGTGAGTAATAATGTCACAGAGATCAACGGCAGAAGCCCTTTTTAGGGTACTTCTGCTACTCAGGACGCTTGCATGAGTGATCCACAGAGTATTTTGAATGATGTTCATCGATTGGATTGGCGAGCGCAGTAAGTACCTACTATCTTACACAAGGGTAGGGACAGTCAGCGGGGAGGGTAGTATGCTTCCCTAGTAGTAGTAGGCATACGTAACCAACCCGAGGAATCACGGAGGGGTTAGGGCTTTTATGATCAGCAAACCTATGCGGTGAGTAGAACATCAGTACCAAGGAATACTGCTGTTGTCGTTACCCCACGGTTGTTGGTCACTAGCGCGACTATAACGTCCATGTAACTACTGTTGTTGGTTAAGTTACTTGTTGACCTAGATTATACCTAATGTTTTCTACTACTAACGATCAACGCCAGCAGCAGCAGCAACAACACGAAGAAGGACAGCAGCATCTCCAGCTCCAACAGGGATTTGGTATTCTGCAGGCGTCCTCGTCTTCTGACCCTCAACACTATCAACAATCTATTACTGCCACTTCTCCACTGACGACAGCACGCCCATCACTTACACTCAACTTTGATGATGATAATGATCTACTCCAGTCGCCTTGTGACAGTCCTAAGCTCACTCCACGTAAGTTGGGTAGTGCTCCTTCTCGCTGTAGTGATGATGCTCTTAGCGTTCTTAGCTCTCATCACGCTACGGATAGTAACTGTCTATAGGTCTACGATGCGTGTTTTGCTTAGCAATATGAGTATCCACCTTTGGGACGGCGTTATGTTGTCTTCTTCAGCGAGTCCAGCAACAAC